GGGTGGGGCTGGGGAGAGGCTTTTGGAGAGGAAGGCTGTGAACTCAGCTGTTCTTTTCCTGTAAGTCAGAGACTTGAGCTAAAAGCAGACTCCCCATCCCTTAATAGTCTGAAATCTCAGTGGTGAGGATAGAGTGATGCAAGTTGTCCTATCCCCAGGGATGCCACGTACCTTCCCTCAGCTTGGTCCAAAGCAAGGAGAGGAGTGGGGAACAGAGGCAAAGTGTTTTCTCTTTGCAAGAGGCTCATTCTCCCCTTATGCAGGCCTCTGGGTGGCCTTGTTCTTCATGAGTCACTCAGAAGTATTGTTAAAGTGAGCGAAAGCCAGCTGTGCTGGCTTCCCAATTGGAGGAACTGAGGAAGTTGCTGTGCCACAAGAGAAATGAGTGTGGTGACCAGCCCTGACTGATTGCTGCATGCATGCTCTCTCTCAATGAGGATAAGGAGGCAACAGGACAGTTACTGTTCTGTGTGGGCTATGTCTGTGGGTGGGGAGATAAGGATGAATAAAGGGGCCAAGAAAACTACAGAGAGTCATGAAGCAGCAGCAGAAAAATGGTTAGGAAAGATACCTGCTGCTTTGTATTGGTTTTAGTGGCCAAGTTAATGCATTAGCAATGTCTCCAGCTGGAAAGTTATTCAAGGAGGTAGATGAGAAGCCCAGCCTGCCTGGGAGCCAGGGAGGCCTAGTTCCAAGTTCTGGCTCTGATTGGCTGCTTGACTTTGGGCATATCATCCTTCATCTCCATCCCTCAGTCTCCTCATCTGTAAAACGAAGGAGTTGGATTAAATTACCTTTCAGTTCTGACTGTAATCATGCCAAGATTTAAAGGACTAAATGAAAGAGCCTTCCTGTCAGTATCGTCATGGGCTGAGGACCCATCGAGTCTGCAAGACAACTGTTTTAAACGTTCATTTTGGAGGGAATGAAACAGAATGAGAGACTTGGGAGCTAGCAATTAATTTTGGTTTGGGCTACTGCCTTCCCCTTGCAAAAAGTCTCTCTTTGCAGCTGGTCACTGAGGGTCGACAACAATGCTAAGAATCTCCGGTCAGGGTTGTGGTGTGGATGGGTTTCTATTTATAAGTAGACATCGGCTCAAACAATAGAGCAACTGCAGCCTGAGTGGCCCTGAGGCCCCAGAGCCTGACCCCCTCTGGAAGTCTGGAAAGCCTCAAAAGCCAGATTGCAGGAGGAGATGACAAAGAAATAGGTTCAGATAATCTAAGGGACTGGGGCCAGTGATTTCACTAGTCTTGGGGTCATCTTCATCTAAAAGCATTTAATAAGCACCTATATTTTCATATAAGCTATTAAGAAGTGACCCTTACCTTCTAAGAGTTTATCATTTGTTAGCTGACAAAAGGAAACATGCATTAGACCAAGAAATAGAATAAGGTGGTTAATAAAGGCATTTGCTGCAGTCTCTCTAGTTAATCACGGAGGGCTTCACCACGTGAATAAGGATATATATATTTTTTTTGTTCTTCAGTAGTGTCTGACTCTTTGTGAACCCATTTGAGGTTTTCTTGGCAAAGATACTGGAGTAGTTTCCCATTTCCTTCTCCAGCTCATTTTACAGATAAGGAAACTGAGGCAAAAGGGTTAAGTGACTTGCCTAGGGTCACACAGTAAGTGTTTGAGGCCAGATTTAAACTCCTGACTTCAGGGCTGGCTGTCTATCCACTTCAACACCTAGATGTATATAACTTGCTCTCCTTAGAGCAATGCTGATAGCTCAGCTTTCTACAAGGTGGAATGGCATATTGGGTCAAGTGTGGGACTCGGAGGCATAAGACTTGAGTTCAGTTCCCACCTCAAGACACTTACTGGCTCTGTATGACCCTGGAGAAATCTCTTAATTGAACCTCAGTTTCCTCATCTTAAAAATGGAGTTAATTAACAGTGCTTATCTCACAAGAAGTGAAATAACGTACTTTACAAATTTTAAGGTGCCACATAAATGATAGCTATTATGATTATCATGAAGAGATTACAGCAATGGTATTTAATTTAAATTCTGTGTTCCCCAAAACAAAAAGTTCCCAAAGGACCCTTTACCTAGGAATAACTTAAAAATAAACATCCACAGTAGCTGGGCCCCCATAAATGGGTGGTCATGGAGGAGATGGGGGCTGACTGCCTGGTGGAAAATGTGACCCATCTGCATGTTTGCTATTTACATTCATTTAACTTACATAACAGTAACAGTTTTTTCCCCCTGTTCATCCTATATATAGCTTGTTGGTACATATTTGTTTGCTTATTGTCTCCCTCCATTAGATCTGTGAGATTCTTGAGGGCAGGGACTGTCTTTTGCCTCTTTTTGTATCCCCAGAGCTTAGCATGGTGCCTGGCACATAGTAGGTGCTTAATAAATGCTTACTGACTTGTAACAGGTTCAAAGTTCCACAATTTTATCTCGGTAGTTACCCCTCCCACTAATGTAGATCATTAACCCACCCGACTTTGTGGGATGGTCTCACTAAACCGCTGTACCCAAAGAAAAAGCACCTGCCAGCCAATCTTTTGGAAATGATCTTTGTATCCCTTAGCACAGCACCTGGCACAAAGTAAGAGCTTTAGAAATGTTTGTTGATTGATTAGTGAGCTTCTCTAAGTCAAGCTGGTCCCTAGACAACACAAGCTTCAGTCACTAGGCTCATCAATGAAGCATTTTTGTCCAGACAGCAGTGGCCCTCTCTTCCTAATATGCTTCTATTTATTCTCTTTATATTTATTCTGTGCACACTTATACACATTCTTGTCTGGCCCATTAGAATGTAAGCTCCTTGAGAGTACAGACTGTTTCATCCTTTGTATCTGTATCCACACCACCTGGTCAGAGTAGGCCATCACATATAAACATGTGATTGATTGAGAACACATTTGTTAAAGGGAGAAAAAAACTCTCATGGAGGAGGAAATTCCAAAAGGAAGCAAGGAGGTCGGAAGCAGGACAGCTCCCGAAAGGTGAGAACTACTCTGGGTCTCCTGGGAATTGCTGAGTTAATGGGCTACTCAAGATATAATAAAGCAGCTGCCCCTATAAGGCACTGAGACTAGACAGGACCTCATAGCTCTCTGTGGTGAGATAGTATTTTGGAGCCTCATAAAACAAGCAAATGTTCAAGTGCATTCTTCCTCTTCCCCAGACTGGGAGCCAAGAGATTAAGAGAGTCTCTTTGTTATATATGGACACCTGTCCCGGAGAAACGAGACTGAGCCAAACTCACTTCACACATCACTATGCTGCCATCTGAGACAACCACTCAAAGTGGTACAGTTTTAAAAAACAAAACAAAACAAAACAAGCATTTACATCATTCTGGCAAAGTAGTTCACGGCACTTCCCAGATCATAAAATATCCCCTCCACCCCCACCCAATATCTCCCTTGAACTATGCAGTGAAGATAAACCAAATGATCATTTGTGACTACCAGTCACAACTTGTAAATTGTGTCAGACGTATTGGATTAGGGCTACCTGTGAGAGTGGATTAAATGTGGGTTCAACAACCTTTAGAACTACCTTCTATCACAAACAGCAAGTGGAATTTCAGATGGCAGGTCATTTTTTTCCCTCCAGTCAGAGTGAGCTAGAGAAGTGGTTTTTCCTATGTAGGAAGCTAGTTCTCACGGACTCTTTCTCCCCAACCATTCAGAGGGGCCACTGACCTAGATAATAATAATAATTATAGCTAACATTTATATAGTGCTTACAGTGTGCCAGGAACCGTGCTAAGCACTTTGTAATTATCTCATTTGTCCTCACAACCACCCTTTGAGATGGCTATTATTATCCCCATTTTACAGATGAGTAAACCAAGGCAAACAGAGGTTCATTGCCCAGGGTTACACAGTAAGTGTCTTAGGCTAGATTTGAATTCAAGTCTTCCTGATTCCTGGCTCTTTTTCTTTTGGGAATTCTACATCCCCAGACATCCTGAGGATTGTGTTCTAGGAGCTGAGGTTATGCCCTCAGAGGCATGATACTCCATTCCCCTCCCACCCCCATCTCATCATTCTTATCAATCCCCAAAAAAGAAACATACCGGTGGTACGTTCTTTTGGTGCTGCCTAGCTTGGCAGCAAGTGGATCAGGAATTATCTGTGAGAGCACAGATGATAGGGCCTGGCTAGGAGGTGTCGCATGCCACTGCAATGGAGGATTAACACAAAGAATGTGAGGTCAGGGGTTTGGGCCAAAGCAGCTTCTATTTATAAAGAAGATCCTTCTGGCCTGGGGGAGAAGAGGAGAGGGACGGGACACAATGGGTAAGTAGCCTGGCTCCGCCTGGACGTTACTGGGAAGAAGGAGAACCCTCGGTTCTTTTTCTTTTCTTTTTTTTTTTTAATTGCTTCCATTGAGATCAGGTTCCCGGCTAACTTTGATTGTCTTAAGATCATAGCTCACATGACATTGGAGAAGTCCTAGGGTTTGCCACAAAGCAAGTCCACAATAAAGGGCCTTTCCACTAGATAGGTTAAGAGGCATGAGCTCTTACAGGTTTTGTATGGTGGGACACGTCCAAACCTAAAGCTGACACAACCATGCCTCTAGTCAATATCATAAAATCCCCCTTCTGGGGTTGGGAGTTGAAAGACTCACATATGACATAAAGAAATGGTGTAATTCTTCAAAACAGAATAAGGGAAAGTAGGTGGCAGGCTTCACATTCTAAATTCCTAAAAAGAAGCCAGCTTCCTAATGAAAACAAAAGTATAGAGAGCCCCTCTGTTTCCCTAACCACAGGATATCAAGGATGACAGATAACCAACCACACAGATCTAATTCCAGCTTGGGTACAGCTTTGGTGACAACTGGAGCAGGGAGGGGAGCGGAAGCCTTCTGAAACTCAAGGATGCAAGGCTAGGGTGCATAAAACTCCTACTCTCTTTATCAAGTCAGATTGTTCTTGTTTGAAACTTCATGACATTTCATATCCTCTGCTGAGTCAAAAGAACTGAGACGACAGTACAGGCTGCAAGACGACGACTTAATGTCATATAAAATTTTTATTTATACACTTTAAAAGTTTTCCACCAACATGTAACACTCTAAAGGATTTCTTTTTCTCTAGCCTAATGGTACAACTTTCTCAGACTGAGTGCCCCCAGGGAAGCTTCTTCACCCCTTTCCCTTCGGCATCTCTTGACACTCTTTTTTACTCATCCCCTCCCCACAACAAACTACCCTGGAGGAGTCTGGTAAAACAGCACATGTCTAAAGGCCTGGGAAACTTGAAATGAAAATATCCAGGCCTGAAAGATATTCTAGTGTGGGAAACAAACCCCTTCATAAAAATAAAATTATGACCTAAGACACCATCAGATACAACCCTACAGCACAAATAGGTTCCTGTTCATAGAATAACTGTTGGATCTGGAAAGGAACTTGGAGATCACAGTCATGACTGCACTGGGCTTCCTCTGAGGCCTGTTGTGAGGGAGTGCTAAGAAAGGGCTACTCTTACTACCTTTGTCCATTTCAGCTCCCCAGTTCTATAGATGGAGCAGTTAATATATGTGAGGTCCCCCAGTATTCTCAATTCAAGTTTATCTATCCAAGGACACCCATCTGGCACAGTGGTGTTGAGGGTTTGTTAGGAGCAGCTACCAAGGTCACTGAATCACTGAGATAAAGACTGGCCTTTCAACTCACTGGTTCCTCCAAGTTGAGGAAGAGATAGGAATGGAACACACAGTATCCCAGATCCTGCCTGGGCCCACCAGAGACTGCTGAAGGTCAACAATGTAATGCAAATGGGTCACAGTCCTTCTTCAAAAAGCAACACTATAAGTTTCTCAATGAAACAAGTTTTAATTCTCCATGTTCCCCTAACATCTAACTTGACACAAATCTCTAGGGAATGACTGACCATCAGAAAACGGGAACCACTTACTACAAGTTTGTTAGGGACGTCAACAGCCAAGTGGGAGAAAAAAATCTAATGAGGCTAGGATAGGAGGAAAAAAGAGATATGAGGTCTGGAACTCTCTCTGAGGATTTCAGATACATAAACCAAGTAAAAAGTGAAGTACGACTAGGCATATTAATATGATGTTTCACCTAGGAGAGGCAGATGAGCCAAGTTTGCTTCCCCTAACATTATTTAAAGGTGCTGTTGCAATTGCATCTGTCCTGGTGTTTATTTTTAATTAAAAGTGAGTTTCTCCTTTCAACGTGAAGTAGTACCCTGGGAGCACTAGTTGGGAGGGCACAGAGAGGAGAGACCAAGACATGTTCTAAAAAATTAAATTTAATTAAAAACAAGACAAAAACCAGCTCCTATCTAATACTTTATATGTAAATATCCTATTTCTCTTACTTTCACCGCTACTAAGAAGGTCACGCATGGTTATCCCTCAAGTTGACCAAAGGCTGGGTGAATTTCTCAGGTCCACAGGACAGCAGAAACCTTTTTTCCTGACTGTAGACTGAAAATACCCTCACTCATTCTGTGCAGAAAGAGGCCAAAGAGTTTAATAGAGAGAGAGAAAAAAAAAATAAATGTTCAGCATTTTCAGTTTGAAAAAAGAGAGAGCATGTGCAAGGCTGGTACAAGATTTGTGTCTGAGGAGGTGAGCATGCAGTCAATCTCAGGAATGGAAAGGAACGACAGGATCTCTTCAGCTTCTCCATCCACCAAATCCTGGGGTCGACCTGCAAGGATGTAGCAGAACAGAGCAGTGACTCCCACAAGGCCTACAGAGGGCTGATAAAAGCACTGACTTGTGTTTCTGGTGCAGGACTTCACATTTGGAAATGTTCCTGCAATTCCGTACAGGAGCATAGGGATCTTCCATGAAGACCACAGAGTTTGGGAAGTGCATGCTGCACTACTGGTCATCCATCATCCTGCTGCCAATGGACAGTAAGTATCATTTAAGAATCTATACAAGTGGGACAGAAAAACTGACCTCTGAAGTTATTGCCTTCAAATTCTATGCCCTAAGAGAAGGGAACAGTCTTCCCTCCCTTTTATTTGTCACATGTGGAAAGGACAGGACTAGTATCTAACTCAACTTATTAACATAAAGCACAACCACCAACAAGAGACATAAAACCCAAATACTGCTATTTAAATTTGAAGTCTCTAGGAAAATCTATGGGAAACTAAATAGGAAAAAAGAATAAATAAATGTCCACATCCTTAGTTTCTACTTTAAAATTAAAGTAGAATTCAAATAAAACAAGAGTTACTATTTCAACACACTTTTCCTGAGTTTCCTTTTACATGCTACATTTTCATTCTATTTCCTTTTTTAAAAAAATTATAATTAAAATCACACAAGGGCAGACATAGGTACTTACGTGCTGGATGATCCAAAGCCAAACCCTGAAACAGAAATAAGAGTCAAGTTATTTGTTTTTTCAATCAGCCTACAGTCAACAATTTTTTCCTTTCTACTTTTTCTCTGAAAAAACTTTTCTCTTTAAAGCTGTCAATGAGGCATAGAATTAACACTGAGAAATTTTTCAGAAACTGACTTGAGTCTGGCAGAGAAGGACCACAAGATCAGATTGAGAGCTAGGAGGGAGCCTCAAGGTCATCTAATTCAACTTTCTCATCTGACAGGTGAGAAAATGGAGGTTCAGTGAGATTCAATCACTTGTTCAATGTCACTCAGGGAGGAGGAGTAAGTGGCAAAGCTAGGATCTGAACGCAGGTCCTCTGACTCCAAACGCCATGCTCTTTTCACTGCACTACATTTAGTGCTTTTCTGGGTCTATCCAGAGATGACAAGGTCCATTAAGAAAAAAACACAAACCCACTTTACTTTTCAAGTGATAACAGAGCCCTCTCCAGGCCTTTGGTCCACTCTTCAATGTTCAATAGTCCCATGCATTCACACACAGCATCCTTTGCCTAAGTTCTCTGTTCTAACTATGCTAGGACAGACAGAGGACATTCCAATGAGAAATATAGCCTTCCCATTCACCTCATTAACATGCTTGCCTTGGCCTTCCCTCTAATCATCTGTGATGTGGACATCAGATGGAGAGAGCACTGGCCTCAGAATAAGACTTGAGTTTTAGTCCTGGCTGTACCACTAAATTTGCATGACCACGGGGGCACATGGCTTAATGAGTCTGACCTTCGTGTGTTCCTCGGTAAAACAAGGATAATTTTACCCATCTAATCTATCACACAGTTTTATGATGAGGCAAAAATGATACAACAAAGTACTTTGGAGAAAGTAGAGTGGTAAGCCAAACACAAGCTACTTATTAGACCCAATTCTTTTTGTGTTCTCTTTGATTTTACTCTGAATTTCTGAATTCTGGATTAAATTTTGAGGGAAAGGCAAATCATCTCTTATGTGATACCAACGGCATTATTTATCTCCTCTAATTTAAAGTGTTTGTGGGGTTTAGTGGGGGTGGGGGTGGGGTGGTGGAAAAAGTGCCATTTTAATATTTCATTTGCCATTTTAATATTTTGAAATATTAAAATGAAAAACCATGGGGAAAGATTTAGGTTCCAATCTCTCATTTCCCCTGGAGCAGGAAGGATTTATTTGAGGGCTTCAGCACAAGAAAGCTCACCTAGGGAAAAGGCAAGGACTATGGTGTTTGTGTGGTAAGGTGAACTGTTTTCCTACCTCCTCCACTTGATCCAAAACCAGAGAATCCACTGCCTTGTGTCCCAAAACCAGGAGTCTGTTGGGACAATGACCCAAAGGTGGGTGCATTCTGACTTGCCAGGGTGCCAAATGACGTAGTATTGCTACTGCTGCCAAACCTGGGTTCCAAAGACAGAGCACATTAGCCATTAGTTCAGGGTCTGTGTCACTAGCCCTCTTGGAGCCTTTCCCCCACCAGCATATGTTGGACGGCCATGCCATTGTCAGTCCCCCTTCATCACCATTTGTGAAGTCAGGTGACTAGCTAGGTGTTAGCCAACAGCCTCCTGAAAAAGAAAGCCTTCAGCATAGCACTTATCATTTTTCTGGGCTTTAGGGAGAATCAAAATTTAAGCATAACTCGTCCACAGTTTTGCTTGTGTTTCAAACAATGAAATCACCAGTTATCTAAATAGTGGGCAGGTTATCTCCAAAGCTTGTACCTTATTTCCAATTTTCATTTGGTACCCTCATTTAAATACTTTCTTTTGAGTTAAAAAATTGTTTGCCACTTACTTACCCAGCTTCATTTCTCTCTGCATTAAAACAGTGCTTACTCTACAACTATAATTTAGCTCTGAAGTGCTACAGGGATGGTTTGATGTCTTTCCATACAAAGATGATGCTTGTGATCCATCACTAGTAGGGAAGGCACTGCACTTAAAAGACTCCTATTTCCAGGAGTAGGAATACATCTGAACAAGTCTATTCACACTGTCTTGAGAGGGCTGGTCAGGATTGGGGATGCAATCTGTGGTAGTGATGTTAACGACCTTACTTGGGCTTTTAACCCATGATTGTGGCTTCACCAGCAAAATGCTCTGTCCAACTATCTGACTGCAATGAGGATTCATAGGAAAGGCATTGTAACAAGATGAGCTCCCTACTCTTCTCTCATGAAAGAAACAGAAAACAAATCAAAAGAACCTGATTCTGGCCTCCCAATCTGATTCATGGTGGGTGAAAGAGTCATTAGGAGGCAGTAATGCTTGTGAAGATTTTCTGAGAAACACTAGCCTCTGTCAAACTTTCTTTCCTTTCCCTTGCAAGCTTTTCTCTACATCAATGCTTGTGCTTATCCTCCAGGGAGATTAGCATTCATGTCAAATTGCACACTAATCTTGGTGTTATGGCGAAGGAGCAATATGAATACAAAAACCTCACTTCAGTTTGTATACAGCCAAAATCCAAACCCTGACACATTTGAAGGTGGAGAAAAGGGGGCAGCCAGGGGAACCAAAGACACCTTCTTCACAGTTCTGCCCAGAGTTAGCCCTGCTCTCACCTCCTCTCCAAAAAAGTAAAGTATTAGGCCCAAAGGGGTTTCTGCTAAAGGGGAAAAGGGATCTACAAGACAAGCTCACCAGACATTTGGCTTGTCAAATGAATCACTTCTATACTATTCATGAAAGGAAATGGGTAAATTGAGTGATGCAGAAACTTGTGGTTAAACTGCCTTAACCATAAAGGTGTTGCAGTATATAATCATTCTAACAGGAGAAAAACAAGTTTTGTTAAAACCACTGTCTGCCTTTTAATCAGCAGCTTGCGCGCTCTCTTAAACATGTGAGAGGAGAACTGAACCAGTTTCACAAGCATAGCTATCTTCTGTTTGAATTTCATCTTTTTCAGCCCAGATAATCTTACCATCTCAGGTCTCAAGACTTCACATTGGAATCTTAGTGAGGTCAAAGGCAAGAGCCCCATACCTGCTAAGTGAGGATGGAGGAGATATGGTTGCCACATATTAGGAAACCTACTTAAACTTGTTTTGAAGCAAGTTGACTAAGAAGACTATACCTTTCTTGCCTTTTCTCCTTCCTCCAAATCTTGGGATTTACACTTATAGTGTCTCTCCTTGAGCCCAATTCTGAAGTAGAGGAGTATGAAATGTTTACTTCTAGGAATTAATGTTCACTTAGAATGAGGAAATGTAGCATTTACAAGGTATATTTCCTTGGGTGCTACTGTGGAATGAAAGACTATTTTTCCATTAGGGTTTGTAGCCAAGGTGAAGTTGCTGGGCTTCTAAAACCACCCCCACCTTGTATGTGAGGCAACGAGGGCTCTCTGAAGGCTAAGCAATCACCAGCCTGCTCAGTACAGTAGTTGCCTCATGGGAATCATACCCATTCTAGGGGTCTGGGATAGGAAAGAGGACAATAAAGTGCTCTTTGCTCAGAGACAACAGATTAAATGCAGAGGAGTCCCAAGAGACATGGATCTGATTAGAGTCATTCAGTCAGGGCTTCATAACAGAATTTTGCAAACAGGGGGCAACAAATATCATTAATGTCTGACGGAGGATTATTTTTCCTGTTTTCACCAACTTTATATGGGCAATGCATCCCACGCTCTGTTACAGAGTGCATACACAACTGATGTCCAACCACATATTCAAAACAGTCTAGTTTAAAAAACACAACAAAAGAAAAAAAAAGAAAACCAAACTCTGTTCCTGCTGGGGAACAGGATGCTTGGGGTTTGAAGGTACCACCTTACCATTTGTAAGGAGTCTTGGGAGGGAGGGACCTCCATCTCAATACCAAGAACTGGGAAAATTCAAGAGGTTTCTGGGTTTTTGTCTTTTTTTTTTTTAAAGTGGTAACAAACCATAGGCCTTTTTCCCTGGTGTGAACTTTTTGGTTTCCCTGCCTCCCACTTCCAAGAGCTTGCTTACCCAAATCCTCCAGCGCTGGCAGCTGCGGTCCCCTCTCCGAACACTTTGCCTCCCGTAGAGCCCAGAGGGCTTGTAAAGGCTGGGGCTGAACCGAATGCTGGCACCCCTCCAAACCCAGGGGATCCCCCAAAAGTAGGAGGGCTGCCAAACACTGGAGCAGCACCAAAGCCACCTGAGCAAAACAGAGGCAAAAAACAAAAACAAAGACACCAAAAACAACAGAAAGGAGTTGGTTGGGTAGGCACGAGAGGACAAGGAAAGGAAGGACAGGAACATTAAAATGAAAAATGAAAGGAAACCAAAAGGGGGAAGAAAAGGAAGAAAAATGTTAGAATTTCAGATACATTACAAAGCTCTGGAACAGGTTCTGTATCCCCTCACTTCTGTATGGAAAATATTTCAATTGGGGTCTGGGATCTACTAATATCTTCATTTCATGTAAATCAGAAGTGTAAACCTGTAAAAGCCCACCAAGCCTGCCTGAGAGATTTCTACACTCCCTCAAAGGCAAGAAAGGTTTCATAATGAACAATCTTGTGAAACCATATTCATCAGCTGACAGCACACTTGGTACGTTTCAGATCCCTTCCTGGCTTATTCTTGGAGCTTTGGAAACTGCCTACTGAAAAAACCATTCATTCACAGCGGCTTCAACATCTATAGCTTCCAATGGGATATAGACTTCATTACCTATGAGAATATAGGCAAGTCATAGGCTCTTGTGAAAATTCAAGTTATAAAATTAGAGGGGAAAATTGCCTATCAGGGAGAATCCACAAACTAGGTTACATCGGAAACAAAAGGAGATGCATAGCACTGGAGAACAGCCAGGTGCTTTTTATTTATTTAAAGCATAATGGCTCTCACATCTCTCATCAGCATCTCTCTCTTACTGCATAAAGGAGGCAATGGTGGGGGGTGGGGAAAACCCTAAATACTTCTCTGATTATGGCCAGGGAATTGCTCTACAGTTTTAAAAATCTACTCCCCAACATGAAGCTCACAGGCTGTCTTCATGGGAATGATGACACTATATAAGCCCAGGGAAAAAATGAATAAGCATTGCCAAAGTGATTCTAAGTCATCGGGCGTGTGCTCTTATCTTCCCCCTCATCTTATCTCTATTCTGCATCTGGCTAGAAAGATGATGGTACGTGTGCATGTGCTCACCCAGAAAAGGCTCAAGAGAGGAACAGACAGGTGATAAACATAGTCACTTCCACTGACTGAGCGAGGGCTGGGCAGCCCCCTACGACCCACAACTAATCCTTCAGCTCTGCAGACTCTCTTCAAACATCCAAGAGATCTGTGTGGGGAATCCCATGGTTCTAAAATAGGGTAAGAATAGTGGCCATTGAAGGCAGTGGCTCAATTCTTTTGGTGGAAAGAAACGACCTACAAAATAGTAGTAGTAGTAGTAGTAGTAGTAGTAGTAGTAGTAGCAGCAGCGGCAGTAGTACTAATAGTAGTAGTAATAATGATGATAGCTAACATTTAGATAGTGCTTACTATGTGCCAGACAATGTGCTAAATGCCTTACAATTATTACTTCATTTGATCCTCACAACAACCCTGGGAGGTTGATGCTATTATTATCCTCATTTTTCAGATGAGGAAACAGTTAAACAAAGGTTAAGTGACTAGACCAGGGTCACACAGCCAGTAAGTGTCTGAGGCCAGATATGAACTCACATCTTCCTGACTTCAGGTCTGGTATTCTATCTACTGAGCCTACTAGCTGCCCCTCTTTTATAAGAATCACAGTACTTTTGAGATGGAAAGGACTTCAGAGATTAATTAGTCTAACCTCCCCATTTTAGGAAACTAAGTCCCAGTAAGGGTAAGGCTTGCCTCCTTGCTATTCCTCACATAAGACAGTCCAACTTGTGATTGCATTCATTTTCACTGGCTGTCTCCCAAGCATGGAATTCTCTCTTTCCTCATCTCTTTGCTTTCCTGGCTTCAATTCCCAGCTAAAACCTCACCTTTCTAGAAGAAACCTTTCCCAATCTCCCTTAATGCCAGTGCTTTCCCTCTGTTGCTTATCTCCAATTTATCCTGTATATATTTTATTTATACATAATTATTTGCATACTGAAGCATACAAATTGGACACTTCAGACTATGAGTTCTTTGAAAGCAGAATTTTTTTTTTGGCCTTTGTATCTTCAGCACTTACCTGGCACAAAGTAGGCACTTAATAAATGCTTGCTGACTTGATTTGTTAAGTCAAATGTTAGTCGATAAAAATAGCATAAAGGCAACCAAAGAGATGAATGCCTAAAGGAGAAAAGGGAAATTGAATCTACTCCATACACTAGAGTGTGGAGGTATTATTCAGAAAATAAAGCCAAATTATTTTTGCAGAAATCACTATGCAATCAGGAAAAATCATATAATATGCACCAAGGGCCATTAGTTACATTTTGATAGTAAACAGTTACTTTATGATTCAATTATTTGCTTGTCTAAAATTTGTTGTCAAAGAGGGACTTTGAAGATACTTTTTGCCAAAGCTCACATTTGGATTAACATTCTGCATTTTAATACCCTGGGTGAAATTCCAGTCTCTACCCTGATAATGGATACAGTTTGGATGCAAATATAACAGTGTATGTGGGAAGAAAAGTGCTAAAAACCCCTTTGAGTTAAATTATTTAAGAGTGATCACAGATCTAATTACACTTTCTTTCTAGACACATGGGGCTTTATCTAGCGCTTTGCACACAAGTGTTTTTCAGATATGGTGAGCAGACATGATGGTATAGAAAGTAAATTAGGCAGAAGGGAGGGGTAGCAGATAAAAATAAATGCAATGCTAATGTGAAACCAATCCCCATGTTCATACCCCACAAAAAGAAAGAAAGGGAGCTTGCTGTTGTTCTGGGATTCACAATTCACTCCTACTACTGAGGAAAGCAGGTGTCTCACACTGTTGTGTCATTTCCAGCAAGGATTTCCAGCATCCACTAACTCCAATACATGAGTGAATCTCATAACACTAGGGGTAACAGACTAAATGTCTTACTAACCCATCACATAAAGAAAGGTAGCACAATTAAGAATGTGTGCAGAGCCTGCTTGCTGCATCACTGGTGGAAACAGAGCCTAGTGAAACACTGACTGAAGCTGGTAATGCCACATCTAGTCCCCAGAGAATGATCTCTGGTTCCTCTAGTGAGAAGGAGGAGGAACCTAAGTGGTACTTTCCACTGTTTTATTCTGACACCAATCACCTAAAATTACACCTAAACAGGAAGCAGACTGGTATGCCAAGTATTTAAGGAAGAGAAGCCGATAAAAGGATTTTAGGGACAGCAAAACAATCTCTCGGGGAGCAGAGTTCTGAGGTTACTAGGGCACCAAATGAAACAATGAAGGGGTCCTTCTTTCATTCTCTATTTCATTACCCTCTCCTCATTTGCTCTCAAGACATCATCATCTGCTTGAACACCTAATCCAGGTGGTTTCATTCTGAAGCAAATGACCAAATGGGAAAACTATTCTATAAATGGAAATAATATATTTTGTTTAAGGTTAAAAAAAAATTTTAATGAGACTAAGTCATATGGGAAGTCTGACTTCATTTGAAGATGAGGGTTCATGCCTACCCAGTTAAGAGTAAAAACAGACCCGTAGATATGATAGTGGTAAGTAACTTTCTTTAAAAATATCTGACACGTCAAAAATGGAATTTTCTTAGTTAAGTTCAGTCTTGCTAGTACTAAGAATAAAAATATCTTGGCTCTTTTAAAGTATTCACTGAGGGTATAGGCAGAATGAGGCAGAGAAATTACACTAGTCCATTCACTTAAAATTGCAGTAGAATTAAAATCTGACAGCAAGAGCAGAGACCTGAACAAGTCTGGACCATAGGGTGTGGTGCATTGGAAAAGTGGTTTAGTTCAAGTTTTAAAAAGAGAAGCTCTCTTTACAAGTTTGGAGTGGCCTATTCTATGACCAGGGCCATTCAGAAAAAACAAAAAAACAAAAAACAAAGACAAACAAACAAAAAAACCCAACAAAAACACTCCTTTGAGTCTGTGCCCAAGTAATCAAGGTGAAAAGTCTCATTGGGGGTAACATGATTACCCACTGAAGACTAACTAAGAGTATTCCAGAAAAACATCTCTAAAAAGTATCTTTGTCTCCCATCCATAAGTACTTTGCTTTTTAGGCAACATTATAATAATAACAATTTTTTTAAACTGGAGATGTTTTCTTTTGATTCCTGTGTTTAGTTTTCCATATAACAAAAGCTGGAATCCCCCACCTCCCCACCCCCTTTCAAGAATCCCTCAGATCTGCCCCTACTTCTTCCTCTGCATCTTACAGGCAGACAGGTGACAGACCAGATATAATCAGTACCTGCTTTGGTTGGACTAGAGAATCCAAAGCCTTGTGCTGCTACACTCCCTCCTCCAGAACTGAATGTGCCTGCAGGCTTTTGATCTCCAAATGATGAACCAGAGAATCCACCGAAGGTCTTCGCCCCACTGTTTCCAAAAAGGTTAGATGTATCTGGAGAAATGAACAACACTTGTGAACAATATAGGGAAAACTAGCTTATTTACTTCTCAAGATCTAGGTCACTAAAAAAGGGAAGGAGGAAATCTCTTTGGAATATGTGTGGGATGTGATAAAAAAAAAAAAAAAAGGCTAGGATCCAAGCCAGGGGATGGGCTTGTACTTTTATAAAAATCCAATTTCCTCAGTAGTTTTCTTTCTTGGACCATGATTATGGGTTAATAAACTCTGGCAAGAGAAGTCAGGATTTTCCTGGCATGATTTTATAGTCAAATACACAAGGACAGTGCGGTCCATTTAAAAGAGGCCCTGTGGCATTCCATTAAGTGGGTTCCTTTTTAAATAGGTCACAGTTTATGTTCCTGAAGGAATCTTGCCCCATGACAACAGTGTTAACAGAATACAAACTTAAATATAAGGAACATGAAGGTTTTTACATATAAATACAGATAATATTAGATGACCTTACATGTATTTCTTGGAATTTAACATTTTGTTTTATTTATGTGGCAATAGTAACTGGGGGAAGGGGAAATTCTCTCAAAAAATTAGGAGTCTTTCAAATGAAGGGCAACTTAAAATTTTAATGAACTTAGGAAACAAGGTTAAATCAAATCAGAACCAAACAAAATGGTCTCATGAGTTCATCTTATTTCTTTTCTATCTGGTTTGACATGTTTAATGTTTGGAGAAAGGTTTGGAAAAGAGCTGAACTCAATTAAACAAAAACTTATTAAACTCTGACTAGCTACAAAGGACTGTGCTAGACAAAACAAGGCCCTACTCTCAAGAAGCTTATATTTCATTGGGCAATACAGCACCTAAGCAGATAAATACATAAATAAAAGCCAAAACACAAAACTCCTACTATCCTGAGATCATGGAAGGCTTCACATAGGAGGTGGTACCTAGAGCCAAGCCCTGAAAAAAAGCTAAGGATTCCAACAGATGGAGGTGAGGAGATGGTGCATTCCAGGTATGCAAGACAGTTCGTGCAAAAGCACAAGGGAGGGAATGGAATATAGAATTCAGGGAATGGCTAATATTACAAATAAGTCTAGAAAAGTAACCTGGACCCAGATTAAGAAGGGTATTAAACAGCAGGCTAACGAGTTCCCATTTTAACATAGAAGCAATACAGAAGATACTGAAAAAATTGTATGCAAGGGAGTAACCCAGTCAGACCTGTGTCTATGGAAGGTCACTGCGACAGCAATGTATACGGACAGGCTAGAGAAGGGAAGTCTGGAAGCAGGGAGAGCAGTTAGAAGGCTACTGTAGCAGTGCAGACAAAAGAGGGTCAGGTCCTGATGTGAAGTGGAAGTGGAAACATATGGAAAACCATTATCTTGCTATTTCTGATCTCAACAGGAACCAGGGAAATGCTGGAGCATGTCAAAGAAAGCGTGTGAGACTTCCCACTTGATTCCCTCTTACTGAGAGGTCCAATTAAGTCCTCCACCTTTGTATGTTTTTCTCCTAGGTCACTTATCCACCACCCACTATAAAACTGCTGCCAAGCAAAGGGGAATAAAGGAAGTTACTAAAAACTCAGGCCTAAGTGTTCTAATGATCACACTGATCAATTCCAACAGAGTGTGACAAGCAATACATAAACATGTTTTTCAAGCACACACGAAAAAAATTTGTATTGATTAGATTATCCGTATTAATGGAGGGACGAAGTCATTAAGACAGATAAAAAAGTTATTGTATTTGACTCTGGACAGTTTATGCAACATTTTACAGAGCTACACTTTTCTACTTGTGCTTTGCTTGTACTGCTCTGATTAGTTTATACTCGCTGGATGATGGGAAAGCTCTTGGGTTTAAAGCCCACCTCAGACACTATGTGTGGAACCATGGGCACATCACCTCACCTCCCTGGGCCTCAGTTTCCTTACCTATAAAAAGATGGAGTTGCCCCAGACAGTCTCTGAAGTCCCTTCCACCTCCATCTCCTGATCCAAAGGATGCCTGATTGTGGCTGTGTCCCATCACCAGAGCAGGGACCTCACCTTAAGGTAACATGAGGCCACCGGGCTGACAACTAGTAAGGTTTCACCTCTTTCAGCTCTAACTCCATGATTCTATAAAACGTGGTAGGAAAGCCAGCAGAGGATGGAAAAGAAAGCCCCTTATGGATAACTGACACACAGACAAACCACGGCCTGAACAGATATGTCCATGTCACTGAAGTGAAAGCACACACATGCCTCCTAAGAGTCTTCTTTTCCCAAACTTCCAGTGTACACAGATCACTTGAAGAGGGAAGGAAAGTAGTCACTCTCTCTCAAAGCCAGTTTACTTGAAGAGGCAGTCAGATAGACTACTGCTCTGGATACCTCTCATAGCCCAGAAACAACAAAGTACAACGCTACCAGTATTTTCAGTTAGGACGTTATTTTTACTCTGCTCAGGGTTTGTGGCTTAAGCCTGTTTGTGGAGACAATAGCACCTCTCAATTCTTGGGTTAGTGGCCTTGTAAGGTCTGACTCAGATCCCTACATGGGTGTCCTCTCTTCAAAAACATCCTAGACAATTTATGACCACTTGGCTGAGGGCACAGGACTGAATGTGTCAGGCATACGGCAGCTGGAAACTCTGGAGTAGAGAAAAATCAATTTCTATTAGCCTGAAATAAAGTATCGTGTGTTTACTGAGCTCTGAGTTGTATCTGTATAAAAGCTGCCCCTCTGAGCAGCCTGATCTTTCCCTTACTGTGCTAAGCTGGAGGTTACATTCTGGAGCTTTCACTGCCAGTGTATTTGATACTGGAGATAGAGAGAGGGGCATACTTCTCTCAGCAAGTCACTTTTACTGGGTATTTCAAGAACAATCAGCTCTCATTTCCTGCCTCTGCTGGTGCTAGCAATGTAAGCCTCACAGAGCAAACAGGAACGTAGATCCAAAGTTAGACTTCCTGGGTCTTCTGTCAGACAAACTTTGGTGTAATTGTATAAAAATCAAGGTTTAGTGAATTCCTGAGGAACACAGCACCTTCAATTGCTTGGTAGCCATGGAAAATTTACAAGTCCTTTAAACCTAGTGTTTCTTTAAAAGCTCCTTGTGTTCAAGGTCCACATAATTGCCATCAGTATTTTCCCCTCTCCTTCCTTTAATCACAATCCAATTCAGCTTAAGGTCATGACCTAAACTTAACATAAGTCATGAGTAGAGGCAGAGACTATATAATTGGTATTATTTTAAAAAACCACCCCAAACTATATTTTTGTCCTTTAACATTTCTTGGTTTACTCTGTGTCACAGACTTCTCCCTTAAAAGGGGCACCCAGCCCTTAGGGATCCTGGAAATTTCTATTTCAAAGGCTAGTTTTATTGTCTTAGGAGATTCTTCATTGGTAAAATATATTAGCCAATAAGAAAAAATGCCCAGTACTCTTTGGCAACCATTTCATAAGCCACGACTTGGGGGAAACAAACACAGGGCTCTGAAGCCACTTATAAAAACAAACAGGCACCCATTCCATCAGTTTTCCTTACTGGCCAAAGAAGAAGGGAGTAAGTAAGTAGGCTTTATTTCCCAGGATGGATTCTTAATTTTGTTTACAGTGAAACACTAGCATAATACAACAGAAGGCTCTTATCTGGACCACATGAAACTACAAGAAAATGAGTGAGAGGGCAATCCCCACAAATGACAGACATCAACATGGTACAAAGATGCCCCTGAGAGGAAGTCACATGGGTATGGTTACACTTTGGACGGTTACTAAAAGAAAGAACAACAGAAAAAGAATGTGGCTTTGTAGAAAAATCTTCACTGGACACTGAGCCACAAATCCTGGATTCCAATCTGGGTGATCTTGGAGAAGTCACTACACTGGGCATGGGGAGAAGGGAGAGGCTGGACTAGATAATCTTGAAGATCTCTTCCAGATTGAAAATTTGTTCTAGGTCATTTTATACCACTAAAGAAAACAAATAAGAACCCAAGGCAAAATTTCAGACACTGAGATAAGATTTTCTTTTGTTCCACTTTTTGGATTGATATCCTAAGACTAAATGTTAATTGCTGAACTTTCCAAAGACGTCTTTTTCATTTGTTGACACTCATATCCCTTTCATGTCCTTGAATAGAATGAATGTGTTGAGGATTGGAAACAACATTCTCAGTACAAATACAAAGAAGGTAACTGCTCTGTAAGGACAAATCATGCTGACTCCAAAATGACTTTGGAAATCATCCTAGGAGGAGTCCTAGGAGAAGAGAGAAGCCCTTACACTGGATGGGGATCACACCAAATACAATGGACAGTATTTTTTGCTACTCTTCTTTTCCTCCTCAGTATTACATTTTCAGTTGTTTCTTAAGATTACAGTCCAAGGGTAAAAAACAGAATGAGTAAAGATGCAGAGGCAGAAATACACAGGGGATGATGACATGGAATAGATCAGCCTGGGAAAAAGGAGAATTTGTTTTGGGGACACTGGGAAGTGAAGTCAGAAAGGCCTTCAAGGTCAGACTAAGTCCCCTCAACTTTTTCTTGAAAGCTACTGGATCAATCAAAGATTTTTGAGCAGTGGGACAAACTGATTAAATCACTGTTTGGGTAAGATCAGTCTGACAATAAATGGGATGTAAGATGAATTGAGGAAAAAAGACCAGTTAAGAGGCTACTACAACCAAGTAACGAGGCATCTGCACAAACGTGTGTGTGTGCGAGCGTGTGCACTCCCGCACTGCCCATTCAGGGGAATGAGGAGAGGGAATGATCCCCTCCCCATCACACCTCACCAGTGCTACCCACTTACCCTATGTAGAGTTCTTACCTGATTTAGTCTTGGAGTAAGGGGGAAAAAAGCCAGAAAATACATATGTATAGACAGAGAGAAAAGAAGAGAAGTAGGAAGAGAATTTCAATAGGGTCAGATGCTGAGACATTAAAAAATGACCAGTGATGACTTAGAAAAAGCCCATCATCACTGATGACTTTTAAGAGTACAGAAGAGAAAGTTTTATCTTCCCCCAATCTCAAAAGTATTTTTCCCCAACAGAAGTGAAACTATTTTTTGTTTTTTTTTTCTTCTTTATCCTCTTTCTTTAGTCTCATTTAATTTTTTCCTTTCCTTTTTCCTTTCCCCTTTGTATATCATCAACTCACCATTCCACCCACAGTAATTTTTTAGCTAGAGCGGCTGCATATCCAATACTCAAGAAGTTGCTGTCCTTGGTACTACCTATCACATTTTAAATACTTTAAAATATCCAAAACCAAAATCCAAAACCCAACAACACATTTCTTGACTTTCTGCCCCTCCAATTCACTTTTAAAGGAGCTACTGATGCTCTCTAGCTTCCTAAAAGAATTACCCATAAAAATAATCTGTATTTTTGTAGATGATCACCTCTTATTATTTTAAACTCAAATCCCCAGCTAGCACACTGATATTACTTGAATAATATATTACATTCCAGTGAAGAGTGATTGGATTTCAAAACATTGTTTATATGAATAATAGCACAAGGTGGGATGAACGAATCATCACCCAAAAACCACTTATTAAGCCCCTAGGTGCTGGTAAACAGAAAATTCTAATATGAAGACTCAAATTTTCAAGTTTAACTTCTGAAGTAGTTAAAACATCTATCCAAATACATTGAAGATTGCATAAAAATTCTGGATATACAATCTTGTGGGCAAGAGTATCCCTAGCTTTTCTTTCTAAATAATCTGTTTTCTCTCATTCCTACTGTTGTCAGTGACATCATAATTATGGCCACTGAGTCTTCAGATTCAAAAGGGAAAAAAATAAGGGAAGAGTTTTGTTTTGAACTAGATGGGGCTTCAATATTAGAGACACATGTCTATTGAGTCTACAGAACACTAGCTCTTGATTCATTAAAATTTTATGTTACACATTAAATGAGAGAATAGAAGACTTGGGCTGTGAACATGACAGCCTTGCAGTTTCCTGATCTAATCCTCCCATCAACAGCATGACATTTTTTAATGATTTAAAAAACAAACTTTGTATTACTTCCAACTATGAATAGACAGATCAACAAAGAACCTCAGAAATGAGAATCAGGAAATGGAGTGAATACAGCTTCAGAGGAAAATCAAACACAAATGCAACTGATGAGAAATAATTAAGGCTTCTAACTTTTGGGTGACATTTCCCTATAAAAGCGGAGTTTTAGAGACAGATTAAAAGAGGGCCATCACACCAATGAAAATGCTTTCCCCTAAAACAAACCTCACACAGGTTTTTGTCTTCTTAAAGATGATTTCTGCTTGTCTGTTTGCATTCGAATCATATCATTTCACTCCCAACAAATAACACAAAGACATGGGCCTTGGAAAACAAATGCCTAGCAGAGTTATACACATTTTTTCATACTGCCTTGTGGATTTTTCAAGATCATAAAGGACACTCCATGTTAAACAGGTTCCATACCAAAAAAAAAAAAAGTCACACCTGCATTTAAGAAAATCTGTTTTAAATGGGCACTTTTCCCTCCCCCCTTTTTATTATTTAACTTCCTGTTAACACTGTGAGGGAGGTGATACTGATGAAAGACTAAGGAATAGGGAAAATTCTTATTTTCTTTGAATAGCTGGCTTGCTTACTTGGGGTGGCTGCAGCTCCAAATCCCCCGCTGGCTGAGCTGAATGGGTTTTTGTTGGCGGCATCCTGGCTGGGTTTTCCTCCAAGGCCACTGAAGAAACCCCCACCTCTTCCAGTGCTTCCAGACCCAAACAAGCCTCCACTGGAAGAAGATGACTGCTGGGAAACAAAGGAACAGGAAGTGTGATATGATTAGAGGTCACTGCAAAATGGCAGGGCATATCCGTGGCCAGGAGGCCCTCACGTACTATTCGAGTGGAAAAATTGTTTTGTTAATGGATATTCCAGAAATCTGAAAAGAAGCTGGGCTTGAATAGGAATATTCCTAAAGGATAGTGGATTTTCAAACTGTTCTTTGTCTAGGACTCTGTAATAGTCTGAGAAAAGATCTGTAAATGTTGGTTGCTTTTAATTCATATTTATACTGTTGTCTCTGGTTCTTGTCCTACACTAAGCAAGTTAGGGGCATAAAATCCAAGAATTCTACAATCTCAAAAAGTTTGAAAATACCATTATAAGCCATGAAGAACCCTACAACTTCTGGCTTTATACAGTCAGACTGAACAAAACAGCTACTGGCTATATGTGATCTATGCTGCCTCCCCCTCCACCCCCATTTTCTACACTTTTATTTGATAATGACTTTCACTGTACTGCAGAAATCAGCCTAAATTAGCTGTACTGTTGAAATGATGACCACAGCTGAATTCTGTCCAAGTTCTCAAATCTTGTCTTCAGATGCTGCCATTAGCTTAGAAACACATGCTGAGACAAAGCTGAACCAGAGACCTCATCTCCCAGAGTGGAAATCAGTTCTTCTAGGTAGATGAATGACAAACTCTAAGGTTCATTAACATCATTCAAATGCTATAGGCACAGCTTAGGGGAGAGTGTAGGACTTGGAGTCAGGAAGACCTGGGTTCCAGTCTTGCTACAGACATTTACTAGCTGTGTGACCCTGGCCAAGTCATGTAGCCACTCTGAGCTCAGGGCTGTTGTGTGAATCAAATGAGAAAAAGTACACAGAGACCCATGCAAACTTTCAAGTCCTATATGAAGATGAGCTGCTTTTTCTCTGTTATTCATCAAAGATTTTGTGAAACTTATTACAAGGCACAGGACATCAAAGTTCAACTACTATGACAATTGGAAAAGGTAACAGGATCATTTCCTGACCAAGCTGCTTTAGCCAAAATTAAATAGGTTTAGCTCAAGTAGCAGAGCCCCTGCCAATCTGCAGGGGAAGAAGTTTGCCAATCCCCTCATAATGAAAGGAATGAATACTAGCCTCATCTGAGGTAAGTGTGGGAAAGCTTGATCAGGACAAATCACAAGGTGGGCCCTTTGGGAAGCAACCATGCAGTGGAGAGGGCCTTGAGCTTAGAGTCAAGAAGACAAATAGGGAATGGATGACTCCAGAAGGACCCTCCCAGCTCTAAACCTCTGATTTCTCTGAGCTGATCCCATAAAGTCATCTCATTTCTCTGGGCCTCAGTTTTCTCATCTATAAAATGAGGGGGTTGGACAAGATCGCCTCTAAGTTCCCATCCAGTTCTAAATCTAAATCTATGATCCCAAAATATTCAAAGCAGCAAATTGCTAAAGGACAAATCAGGATTATTTCCTTTATGTGATACAGTGGGGAGTAGCCAGAACACATGGGAACTTACTTGAAGAGTAGCTACAAACACACATGTGGTTGCCCTGTGGCCTATCAAGAAAGTGAAAGTAAAATGAGAACATGCTTTGGGCTGAATGTTTTTTCATCACCCTGCCTGACTCTTCCCTACTCTGGCAGGTGGAAGCTCAGCCTTGAGAGCAGTGGTTCAGGGAAGCATGTTTGCCTCGGTGTGATACGCTGCCAAGCTCTCTGGCTCAGCAAAGGCAAAGCCTGCATTTAGGTCTGTTTGGGGACATACTGTCAGGCTACTGGGGAATCTCACCAAATAAACCCAAGGCAGCTTCTGTACTGCAGGCTCACTCACGGTGTCCTTACTACCTGTGGTGAAATGTTCCCTTCCATCACTCGGGTCATCACAAGGGAAGGCGCCTATCATGGTGGGATGCTTAATTTCACACCTTTAACAAGCTCTCAGGTGAACACAGTCTGGTGCATAGCATAGCACTGAAGGAGAGGTTGCCTCCTTTTGAAAATAAGCAAGAAACTCACAAGATGCCTACAATTTCTTACCTTCCCTTCTCATTACATTCTTCTCTCCCTATCCCAATAATTAAAGGGCCAGAATCACATTTAAACAGGTTAGGGAGTCTTTGGGAAGGAAGCTCAGCGCTACAACCATGTGTTAGTCTCTTACAGCAGGCAGCATGGGATGAGACACAAATCAGGAGGGGCTGCCTTCTCCAAAAAGCCTGGGAGTATGAAGGATCAAAAAAAGCTAGAATTTGGGATCCATCCCAAGGATTCTTGGGGGAGTTCCACAGGGAATGCAGAGATGATCCAGATTCCCCATTTCCCAACAACTCCACTGCTTTTGGACTTCTCTGGACCTCTCCATCATGCCTTTCTTCATGCCTGGAAAATCTAGTTATGCTGCCAGATTGAATCTGCCTAGTCCTCACATCTCATCAGAAGCCTCCGCCCCTCTGAGCAGACCCTCTGACTGGAGGGCAGGGCCATGGGCTATCACCTGCTCCCCCAACTGCTTTTGGACTTCTTTGGAACTGGGACATCATGTCCCAAAACAAGTATCCTGACTCCCTCTTCCCTTTCCAGTGTATTTCTGAGTGTTGTCTTGTGACTGTAAGTTCCTTGAAGGCAAGGACTATCTTTGTTTTCATTTGTATCCCTATAGCTTAGCACACTGCCTGGTACAGAGTAGGTGCTTAATAAATGTTTACTGATTGACTAGGCAACACAGAGTAGTAGAAAGAGGGCAGGACTTGAGTCCACAGACCTGAGTTCTGCCATTTACTGGTCGACACTGTCATTTTACTTGTCTAACCTTCAGCTTACTTATCTATAAAATGAGAAAATAATACTTATATTTGTGTATCACAGGGCTGTCGTGGGGAAAGAGCTGTGTAGACTTCAAAATGCTGTAACAATGTGAGAAGAAACTAACAATCATTTAGTAGCACTGGTATTTGCAGGATAAACTGAGGGCTTTGGGGAAGGTTCAGAGGATATGGAAGAGTCCTACGTAAGATGAAAATGTCCGAACACTAGTAAAATACCGCTGATACACACCCACACACCCCAACACCAACAACCCCACTGTTACTCTACCTGGCCAAAGACTGTGCCTCCGGTCCCTGCTGCCTGACCAAACACAGAACCTGTATTGCTGGAACCAAAGCCTGTAAAACAAAAGTGTTATCAGTATTCTTCTTAAGGCCTGTGATCACTACTTAGAGATGACTTTTCTCTAGTGGTCTAATTTGTGCCATCTAGGAGCTCTGACACTGGAAGGAAAGGAAGAAGGCAAGAGGAGGAGAAGTGGGGAGGAAGAGAGAGAAGAAAGGAAGTAAAGCGGGAGAGAGGGAAGAGGAGAAGTGAGAAAGAAGAAGCAAGAAGAGGAGGAATGGAGAAAGGAAAAGGAAGAAGGGAGAGAAGGAAGAAAGAAGGGAAGGAAAAAGAATAAGGGATAAAGATAAAAAGGGAAGTGAAGAAAGGAAGAAAAGGAGGGAAGAGGGAGAAAGAGAAGCAGAGAAAGAAGTTTCTTTGGGGATTTAGGACTGAACAGAAGAGAGACTTCAGAAATGTCTCTGGATTAGCTTCCAGGTCTTCAGAGGAGGAGAGAGAATGAATGTTTAATTCTTTGGAGAATCCTACAAAGCTTCTACCTTCTTCACTCTTTTGGTTGGGGCATTCTGACTTCTTGTCATACTTTAATCAAACAGGCAAGAAGGAGCTTCCTCACAGAACAGGAGTAGACACTCTCAGGAGAGAGTATTATTCCCTTAGACCCACAGAATCACAGAATGCCAGAAATGGAGGGTATCTTAAAGAGGTCATTCAGTTCAATTCGTGATTTTTCAGATGAGAAATCAGAGGCCAAGTAATTTATGTGAGATCACTCTGAGAATAAATGAGAGACAGAGGTTTTGATTTGAGGCCTTCTGACTTCAAGGTGTAGGACTCTTTCCACTCCATCATGCTGCCCTCATTCAGGTCTTATATTAACAGAATATAAATGAAGGAATGAATACCCATTAATGGATCTGTCTACAAAACAAACAAACAAACAAACAAAAAAAGACTAGATGGAAAGCATTCACATATTCTACTGATAGATGAACCACCATTCACAGGAGTCAGAGGACCTAAGTTCTCTGCCTTGGATACTGAATACTAGTGTGTCCTTCGGCCTGTCTCTTCATCTGGAAAAACAAGGGTGTGTGCAATTAAATGGCCTCTGAGTTACCTTTCAAGTTTAGATCTATGATCCATGATCCTACGATCATTGGAGTCAAAAGAACATAAAACTGGGCAAATATTTTCAAGGTCTTGATGCCTCTCAAATGTAAAAATATCTTATGATTGAATACTGTATAAATACATTTTTAAAAGGTAGTCAATTAAAAACAATAACAAAAACCTCCACCCAACTGAACACCACCAAAAACTGACAACTCTGCCGAGAAGCAGCATAGCATAATGAAAAGATACCTGCATCAAGAGTCAGGATGCTTGGGTCTGAGTCCTAGCTTTGCCATACCTTCTAAGGCACAAAACCACCTCTGTGACCTTGGGGAGTTCTTGTTTTTTTTTTTTAACCTTAATAAAATAAAGGGGTTGGACTAAATCTAAGTTCTCTTCTCTCGAGAGTCTATGAAAAACTTCCAGGGTTTCAGGGTTCTCATCACAAACTTCCTCCCAGCTCCAACATTCTAAAGGTCATTAAGCTGCCTGCAATAACTTTCATGAAACAACCCTTGCTGTTGCTTATGGCACTCCAATAGTCAATGGAATGGGAAATTGCTGAATTAATAATGGTGGAGTTGGGAATGAATAGGAAGGGGCAGGGCCATCCTTGTTAGAGTAAGGACGTGACTGAAACTTGCAGTTCCGTAGGGGCCCCCCTGCTTTTGTTCTCTCTGGCAGACTCTTACCTGAAGCCTGGCAAAAGCTGAAGCCAGAGGACGACGAGGCAGTCGTGGCGGCTGCAGCACCACCAAACACGGAGCCTCCTTGGCCAAAGCCTGTGCTCTGCCCAAAGGCTGGAGGGTTGCTCTGCCCAAAAAGACTGCCACCAGTACTGGCAGAAGACTGTCCAAAAGAGAAGGAACTAGCACTATTGGTGCTGGAAGAAGCGCCAAACACATTCCCGCTGCTGACTGCCGTAGTAGACGAGGCAGGCTGCCCAAAGGCAGGTACTGAGCCAAAACTGGACTGATTGAATGAAAACCCACTTGCAGAGCTACTTGCAGCCTGTCCAAAGGCAGGTGCCTGTCCAAAGGCCGCTTGCCCAAAGCCCCCAGTGGGAGGGGCACCAAAGGCTGGACTCCCAAATCCTGGGGTGGAAACCTGGGGCGTGGCTGTTGTTGCAGTGGCAGTACTGCCTGTCTGCTGCCCAAACAGGGAAGGTGCCGAGGTGGCCGCCAACTGTCCAAACATGGAGGCAGCAGAAGGGGCAGGGGTGGGGTCACTGGCTGGCTGGCTGAAAGCAGAACCAGTGGAGCTGGTGGTAGGAGGTGGTGGGAACACAGGTGCTCCCGCAGAGGCAGCCCCAAATCCAGCTGGGCTTGGGGCCAGAGAAGCCACACTGCTAGAGGGGGGTGGAGCACCGGGAGGTCCCACAGCCCCCTGGGTCACACTTGAGACAGAGGCTGCTGTCACTGCACTTTGTTCAGGCATTGACAAGGTGGACCCAGAAGAGGCCTCGGCCTTCTCTTTGGCCTCAGGAACATCTACGGTTGCCCCACTGGCTTCCGTGGAAGGTGCCGCTGGGCCAGGACTAGCTGCACTGGCTGCAGAGGCACTGGAGTCCCCTACCACAGGGGACAGGAGGGTGGGCTCCTTTTTAACCATCTCCAGAGGTGGCCCTGGGGCCGGAGGCTGGTCAGACGGCTGTGGCTGCTGGTCTGCAGGAGCAGGGATGGAGGAGGCCGGCACCTCACTATCCCCTGGCTTCTCTGACAATGATGCCAATGACTTGGGGGCATCTCCCGTGCTTTTGCCAGGGGACCCAGGAAGGACAGGAGCAGAGGGGGTACTCAAGAGATTACCGAATGACAATGGGGATGCTGACACAGGGAGGGCAGCAGGGGGAGCGGTAGTTGGAGCAGGTGCTGCTGAAGGTAGGGGTATTGCACTGCCAGTCTGTCCAAATGAAAAGGTGGACTTGCTGCCACTCAAAGAGGTCGCACCAAGATTCAGACCTCCTGAGGCTCCTGAGCTGGGGAGCTGGAGGCCACCAAATAAACTACCCACGGAGATACTCGGGCCAGTGCTGGCTGATGCGGTTACTGTCGTGGTGGTGGTCACAGCTGAGGTAACAGGAGCCTCTGTGGGTTTCCCTAGGAGGGGAGAGCTGCTGAAGCTGAAATCCGAAGTTATGGTTGATATCTTGACAGGCTGTATAGCAGGTAAGTTTATGGATGAAGTCTTACTGAGGGTTTTTGAATTATCATCTGCCTGGCCAACCCTCAGTCCTGAGAAACTCCCTAATGTTTCTCCAGCCAAGGAATTTGGAAACAGATGCTCGCCCAGCTTTAGGGGAGGCACCTCGGGCTTGTTAGATGTTGCAGAAGTGGCTGCCACAGCCACCGCCGGTGCTGCTGGTTTGTTAGATGGGACCACATCTCCAGAAGAGCTGAATGCTGCTCCAGTGGTGCTGGCTGTTTGCAAGATCCCCGAATTAAATGAGAATGTATCGTATAGGTTTGGCTCTTTAGCTGCTGCCGGTGTCACTACATTGAGACAAAAGAAAATTGGAAAACAAATTATACAGTAGGTAAAGCTAGCATATCTCCACTGAATCATCCTTTGAGTCCATTTCTCTACCTTCCCTTCAAAATGAAAAAGATGGTTCTATTTTCAAAGGCAGTTTTATTCAAGAGCAGGATGAATGAATTTATGCCCTCATACACTTAATTCTAGCTAATTTTTATCCACTGGTTGCCACTACAAAGGAGCACTGGTGTGTCTTTGGCATATTTAATGTGAGTATCCATTTTATAACTGTTAATTATAATGCAAACAGGATATTTAGCTTGTGTAAAGTAAGACTTTACCCCCAAAGTATAGATGATTTTCAGTAATAATATCCCTTATACTTCATTAATTATGTATTTTTCTTACTGTAAATTATAAAAAAAATTTTTTTTTATCACTGAGTAGAAAAAAGTTCATCTACCTTTTGTCACCATTACTTTTAAGGTCATTCTGCTGTTTTGGGAAAATGTACATTGCTATTATTTTCAATTCTTAATTCAGAGGACTTAGTTCATCCTAATTACCAGGTATAAGATGTATCATTTAAATAATAGCTTAAAGGCCACTTTTAAAGGCATAATTGACAGGCCAAAGACCAGCCTCAAGAAAAAGATTAGATAACTGCAACTGCAACAACACTGCTCCTACGAGCGGTTAGAACTGGAAATAGAATTTCTGTTTTATGAGGGTTATCTCGTGAAAGAATGGCAGCCATTTTGTCAACAGGAAATATGCTTAATATAAAGAATTAAAAGATAAATGGAAAAGAACATTGCGATTCTTTTGAGGTAACCAGATTCTGATCAAATAAACTTTTAGAAAAAATGATTGGTATACACACATTTGGCACCCAGTAGGATTACTAACATGACATTAAGAAAAAAAGAGTTGGGCCTTGTCTTTTCATGGTACTGGGTTCATTACAGGGCGTAAAATCCTCATATAAAAAGTACAATTTTAGATGTGCAGATGAAAAAGGTGAATGGAATAAAGAACTGTATGGCCTTTATGTTAATACTTGATGTTCCAGAAGCAAATAATTTAGTTACTTTAAATTAAGAAACTTGGTAGCCAGAAATCCCCTGCATTATTCAGTATGAATCAAGCATTTTTTTATTATTAAATATCATATTAGAACCTTAACACCGAACGTCATCACAACCAACTAACTTGCTTATTGACTATTTACATTTAAAATGATTTCATTGCATAAATCATCATAACTTTTCTGTCATTCACTCTAAATCCCTATCAGGATTCTTAACCACATCCATTCTCATTCAGTTCTGCTCCTGTATGTTCATAGTGAGTAGAACCCCATGCCATTTTCTTGTTATGATCTTTCACATTAAATCCAGCATTTTCTCAAATTAATTATTGGTATTAAAAAACAAAACAAAATCACAAACTTTCCTCCAATGCCTCAATATGCCACAGAAGTCACCCATGGCTCTCAAAGTCTAGATGAGTAGAACACAAACAACAGGAGCTCTTACCAACTCTGAATGAGGGCCTAGAAACAGACTCTGTCCATCACTTCAGTTAAGTGTAGAAAGGCTCCACTAGGAAACTACCAGGTGATGATGTTTTTGGCTCTGGAAATTCGTGACATGAGGAAGGGCTGCTATTGGTAATTTGCTATTTGGAGGACTGAGTACTAATATTTAAAGTCAGACCTTTTAGAGTATCAAAGTACTGTTATATTAATGATGATGATATTAACAATAACAACTGTCTTGCTATGGGCATTTTAACAACAAAGACCTGGCAGCACATAGAGAGATGCAGAACATATAAAGAAGGGAAGGAATCACAGTTTGTTTACGGGAGATACAAAAACATGACTTGCATAAATCACAGAACTTTACCTTGTGAGACAGTGAAGTTAGAAGGTGGTGCTGATGTTATTGCTCCAAAATTAAAGCCAGTTCTAGAGAATGAAAGAAGGAAAGAACAGTTGAAACAACTTAATATACCTTTTTCTCCATCTAAACATTTTTGCTAATTTAACCATCAAATATTTAAGCACTTACAATCTATTATGTAAAAGGCTCTGAGTTCGAGGTGTTGTGAGGAATACAAAGAAATGTAAGACACGGTCTCAATCTTCAAGGAGCTCACAATTTGGTAGGAAAAACAGAGGTAGTGAGGGCTAGAGGGGTTCAAAGGAAGGTGAGATACACTGACAGCTGAAGCTACTGGGCAAGGCTTCATGGTGTTAGCACCTGAGCTGGAATCTGAAAGTGAGGTAGGATTGGAATAGGTGGGTGGGTATCAGGGCATTCCTTGATAGAAAAAGGGAAATGATACAAGTAAAGATGCAGAAGCATGAAAACCTTAGATGCACTTGGAGGAAGCAAGGCCATCATCAGTCTGGGTTGAATAAAAGGCTCATGGAAGCCAGTAGTAGGAAAGGACCTTGATGGAAAAGTAAGTAGGGGCAATAAGGTAAAGGACCTTTTGTCATCCACCCCAGGAACAAAGGACCAAAATACAATTTAAAAGCATGTATTAAGATTCTGACCACAAGCGAAAGATTGTTCTGCCACTTATGAAGTGTATATATAAAATACAAGAGATAAGTCTTATTTATTTGGCAGAACCCTAAGTTAAGGGTTGGAAAGTTTGCTTCAGAGACAGATGTGACTCCTTTTAACCTTCCCTTTCCTTCCTCTTCTGCCATACATTTTCTTTTCACTATTAGCAAAACTGCCAGAGCCAAAAAGCAAATTCAGCACGACAGAATGCTGTAAAAAGCAGTGGAGGAAGTTAAAATAGTGAATTCAACAGGAAGGAACAATATTCAAATCAGGTGGCCATGTGCTGAAGTGAGGATTTGGATTTTTCTGGATACTTTATAACACAACACTATCTTCTATGAACTAGGTATGTTACATCATACTGTTAGGATAAATCCACAGAACTAGCTGCTCTGTCCAGTCGGTAAGCATTTAGAGTTTTTATAAATGTCTTCACTAAGGTAGTTTTATTTAGTTGGGGGGGGATATTAACCTGGTGGCCATAATGTTGATACTTTGGTTTTACTAATTTGTACAACTTGGAAACCAATCTATTTTTTATTATTAGCTTCGGGGAAAGGGGGGGGGAGGAGTAGAAGAGAAGGAATAATGATGATTATTTATCTCCTGATGGGAAAGCTTAACCAGCATTTGTAAAGCACCTGAATATTCTGAGAGCTGTTTTAACTTTATAATTGCTCCAAATTATCTCTATCAGCAAAGCCAACACCAGCAGGGGCAAAGAGGCTGCCAGTCTCCCAACCCAACTAGAGATGGACCAGACACAAGTATAACAGACAGATCAGACATGTGCAGTGTGAGGGTCTGTCACATACTACATTTAATACGTAATCTTCCCTATGGCCCTAATCTAAAACTTCACTTTAACAGGTTAGCTTCAAGGCCTACTCAAGAGACATACTAAAATCAGGAAAAGAGAGTTTGGTTAATATGATTTCAACTACAAAATTAAAAGCGCCTGCCCCACCCCAACCCTCCAACCAAAATCCAAAACAAACATAAACAAAAACGTCATAAGAGGCTTCTTAGGTACGATTGAATACATAAGACCAAAACTTCTGGATGGCTTTTATATCAATGGCATCCGTCATAATCCAATCTCTGTAGGGAACTGAACACTTGAGGAGATTTAATAGGTTTCAACATGAATTCTTGCAACAATTTGTTTTAGCATTTACAGAATCCAATCTTCAGAAAAAATAAACACTCCTGTTTCAAGGGTTGGAAAAGCTCATCGTGAGTGGGACAGGAAGTCAAGAAAACCAATTTTTTTTAACTAATGTGAATTTTTATAATCAGATGATCTAAAAATTTAACAGAAAGATTCCTCCACTTGCATATAAAAATTAATGCTCCAAAATACTCCCATGCCTTTTCTCATCTTCCCTAGGAAGCTGTAAGATGTTGGACTTGCAATCAAGAAAAGCCAATTCAGCTGTCTAGTCCACCATGTAACAGTTGCTGAAATGAAGCGTAAACAGATTGACAATGCAGATCAACCTAAAAATTTAGCACAGACTCTCCTAAAATAATTTGGAACCATCCTTGATGAAACCATATGATATTGCATGCAGAAATTTAAGTTAAAATGGAGAAAATCTCCATGCTAATACATTAAACCACTAACACTCATTGTTATCACCTAGAGAGGGGCTGATATTTTTCAAACTTGTAAAAATGATTTCAAGTTATAAAATTCGGGAAGGCCATAAAATTTCATTTCAGTACTGACCCTGACGAAGAGAATGAAAATGGCTTGTTGAACTGTCCAGGTGCTGATGAAGTCGAAGTCACAGTTGTTTCCATCTTGGTTGTCCCTGACCCTAAAGTGACATAAACAAGCCCATTCCATGAAGTCAATTAAGGTAACAACTCCTAGTATGGTATTCTTCTCCCCCATCCCCATTCCACATTACTACTTATATCTACCACTGTAGCTGCACTGTGGCTTCACATACTAAATATCTATCAATCTATATTTATCAACACAGATATACAGATAAGGCCTCCCCCCATTCACTTTGTGTCAGTGGACCCAGAATTTGCAGGGTTTCAACGACTTTTGTTCAACTCTAAACTTGTTCTTGCTTATTTAACAATACGAAGATTGATTTAAACACACATACACACACAATTTGTTAATAAATGAGATCATACTATTATTGTTTGGAAGAAAGGGACACTCTTCTCATTAGCTTTTTCACTGAGTTTAAAAAGCACCTTCTTAGAAAAGACTTTGTAAAAGGTGGCTTTCCATGAATGGAAAGAGAAAGAAGAAAAATAAATTGTCAGAAATATTTAAATATTTTTCCCCCAAGTAGAATGAGGCTTGCTCTTTCTATAATGAAAAAGTACATGACATTGCCATTCTGCTCTCCAGGAAAGGAGAATAAAGAGAGTTATTTTACGACCACCACTGAATGATGGATGCCTACCTAGAAATCATTTTAACTAAAATGAGAATCATTTTAACAGTTGTGTAACACAGGTATGAAGAGAAGTCTCCACAGATTTATCTAGTTTGTTTGGCAAATATCTCAATTCTGAAGAATCACCAAAAAACCAAAACACAAACAAACAAAAAAACCAAACCCCTTCAATAAAGCCATCAAAAAGAGTTGCGGCATAAAAACTTACACCTTTATTTAATAATACATCAATGGGAAAAGGAAGGCTACTTATTAATTTGTGAATTCCAAATGATTCAGGAGTCTTGCTAAAATATTTCCTTATAAAGTTTCAGGTTGAATCAAGCCATAGTGGACACTACCTTCTTGTGAAATGAGATGATTCCATATTCCCTTTTCTTTATGGGACTGGTATTTCATATTATGATACTTAGACTCTGTGCCTCAGGTTTGGATAAATATTATTAGAACTAGAATATAGTTGTATCCCACTAATAAGACTTTTGGAGGAAGGCTTTTCAACTAGGCTTTTTTCAAGTACTTGAGATTTCATCAAACTGGACTTCCAGGCAATATGGCAGCCCAAATAGAGGTAAGGAGCCCAGCTACTATATACTCTAGCAAAAAACTGAAATTCACACCAGACCAAACAGTGATTAAAAAATCCAATGAGAACTACAGTAAGTGACTTCTTCTACCCTAGAACTGCACAAAGTCAATCAGAAACCTACAGGCAATAGGAAAAGGGACTATCAGCAAAGCCAACACCAGCAGGGGCAAAGAGGCTGCCAGTCTCCCAACCCAACTAGAGATGGGCCAGACACAAGTATAACAGACAGATCAGACATGTGCAGTGTGTAGGGTTCTACATCCAGACGCAAGAAGCAGAGAGAGATGACAGTTTCTTAAGAAAGCTCTAGGGTGACTAGAAACCCACAGAAGTGAACCTGGAAATCACCAACAATGGCAGCTACCAGAGTTAGGACAGGAACAAACCCAGGTACTCAACCTTTTAAGGATTTTTCATATCCTCTGTTAAAACTGAAAAGAAATCCCTTTAAGATCCAAGGGGGCCTAACCCCAGAAGACAGAATTCAGTGTAGAAATTTAGAAGACCCAGGACTAGACCAAGGAAGGTGAAACATTCCACCCAAGACAGTAGGTAGCCGGGGGTGGAACCTAACGCCAGAAACATAAATAAACCAAAGATGACACCAATTAATATTAAAAAATTACTGTATGAGGCAGTTAGGTGGTACAGTGGATAGAGCACTGGCATTGGAGTCAGGAGGTCCTGAGTTCAAATTCAGCCTCAGACCAAACACTCGACACTTACTAGCTGTGTGACCCTGGGCAAGTCACTTAACCCCAACTGCCTAAAAAAAGGCCTCAAATTCCAGCCTAGAAGGAGAAGTATCTTCATAACAACTGCAAGAAAACAGATTTTCCACAAAGACTACATGAATACCTAAAAAAAAAAAAATGAAGAAAGAGATAAAGAAGAAGGCAAATGAGTTCCCTAAAAGCTGAAACAGATCTAACAGAAATCATTACCTCCATTAAACAGCAAAAATATCAGAACAAAAAAAAATCAGAATATAAAAAGACTGGAAAAACTGAGAAAAAAACAAAAGAAAATGAAAATGTTCGATATAAAAAAAAATGGAAAACATGTCAAGGAGAAATAATTTAAGAATCAATGAGCTACCTGAAAACCATGACTAAAAAAAGAAAAATTCGGGGCAGCTAGGTGGCATAATACTTACTAGCTGTGTGACTCTGAGCAAGTCACTTAACCCCAGTTGCCTCACAAAAAAAAGAAAAGAAAAGAGAAGAGAAGAGAAGAAAAGAAAAGAAAAGAAAAAGCCTGAACACTATATTTCAAGGAATCACACTCAGCTCTATTCAAATCAGAGGGCAAAATGAAGATAGAAAGAATCTATCAATCACCTCCTAAAAGAAACCCCCAAAATCAAAGTCCTAGGAATGTCATAGCTAAAATCCAAAGCTCTCATGTAAAAACAATAACAAATAAAAAAAACAAACCTTCAAGCATACAGAAAGAAGGATTTGGAGTACTAAGAAGCCACAGTTAAGATCATATAAGGCATAGCAGCTTCTACTATAAAGTAGAGGAGTTCTTAGAATACAATGATGCAAATGGCAAAAGATATATATAGGCTTACAAAAATGAATAACTTATCCTGAAAAATTAAATAAGTTTCTTACATGGAAAAAAAAATTAGATATTTAATGGAATTAAAACCTTCCAAGTATTTCTGATTTGAAAAAAATCAGAACTAAGTAGGGACATTGAAATATAAACAGAAAAAAAGGGCCTCATTTCTAAAATATATAGAGAACTAAGTCAAATTTATAAGAATACAAGTCATTCTCCATTTGATAAATGGTCAAAGGATATGAATAGGCAGTTTTCAGATGAAAAAATTAAAGCTATCTATAGTCATATGAAAAAATGTTATAAATTACTATCGATTAGAGAAATGCAAATCAAAATGACTCTGAGGTACCACATCAGATTGGCCAACATGGCAAAACAGGAAAATCACAAATGTTGGAGAAGATGTGGGAAAATTGGAACACTAATGCATTGTTAGTGGAGTTGTGAACTGATCCAACCATTTTGGAGAGCAATTTGGAACTATGTCCAAAGGGCTATAAAAATGTACATATACTCTGACCCAGAAATACCACTTCTAGGACTGTACCCCAAAGATATCATAAAAATGAGAAAAAGGACCCACGTGCACAGAAATATTTATAGCAGCTCTTTCTGTAGTGGCAAAGAATTGGAAATTGAGGGGATGCCCATCAAATGGGGAATGGCTGAACAAGTTGTGGTATATGAATGTAATGGAATACTATTTTGCTATAAGAAATGATGAGCAGGTGGACTACAGAAAAATCTGTAAGGACTTGTATGGACTGATGCTGAGTGAAGTGAGCAGAACCAGGAGAATGTTGTACACAGTAACAGCCACGTTGAGTAATGACTAATTTTATTAGATTTAGCTCTTCTCAGCAATACAAGGACCTAAGACATCTCCAAAAGACTCCAAAAGATGGAAAATGCTATCCAATCTGGAGAAAGAACCATGGAGTTCGAATGCAGATCGAAGCAACATGACTAATATGAAAATATGTTTAATAGGAATGTATATGTAGAGCCTATATCAGATTGTGCAATGTCTTGGGGAGGAAGGCAGTGAAGTAGGGGGGAGAGAAAATTTAAAATCCAAAAGCTTATGGAAGTGATTGTTAAAAATGAAAAATAAATTAATTAATAAACTTCCTTTAAAAAAAAGAAATATAAACAGAAGAATTAAAAGGAAGTTGGAAAGGTAAATTTATTTGAGCAACGGGAAGGGACTTCATGATGATACTGTGCTAGCATTCTAATATGAGACAAAACAAGTGTTCCTTCAATCAGTCAATCAATCAATAAGCATTTACTAAGCACCTTCTATGTGCCAGGCATTGTGCTAAGCCTGATTCTGAAACTTAATGTCTTCAGAACCTTGATGTTTTCAAAAGGTACTGTGGGAATTAAATAAAATAAAGAGTGGGGAAGGGGGGGCACCCGAGGGGGGAGGGGGCGTGGATTGGTTCTGTTCTGAGGGGTTTAGGAGGGAAAAGAGAAGGGAGAATAAAAGGAATATACTTGGGCAAAATGAAGGAAATTCAGGGTAGAATCTGCTATTCTTTTTAATTGGATATGTGAAAAGAAAATTATACAAACACTGATGGAGGGAGTAGGCATCAGATGAACCTCAAATGGACAAAAAAGGGCTGAATGAACATGTGCACACACACACACACAGAGTTTGGTGTAGAAATACATCAATCTCAAAAGGAAAATAAGGAGGAATGAGGGGTGGTGGAGTTAAGAGAGAAGATAGCTCCTCCTTCTTGGAACAGAGATAATGATAATAAATCAACCTTCCTCATCCTCAAGGGGTAATTCAATGGAAAAAGGAAAGAAATGGGATCAAGCGCAGATCGGTGGTGCAGTGGATAGAGCACCGGTCCTGGAGTCAGGAGGACTTGAGGTCAAATCTGGCCTCAGAAACTTGACACTTACTAGCTGTGTGACCCTGGGCAAGTCACTTAACCCCGTTTGCCTTGAGAGAAAAAAAAAAAGAACTAGGATCTAAAGAGATGCCCAATAACTGGAGAATGGATAAAAAAGTTGTGTCACATAAATGTAATAAAATAATATTTCCCTATAAAAATGATGAAAGAGATGATTTCGAAGAATCCTGGGTAATATAAAATGATGTTGAGTGAAGTGAACAGAACCAGGAGATCAATTTACACAAAGATAAAACATTATAAAGAAAAATAACTTTTAAAGACTTAAGAACTCTGATCAATGGAATAATAAACCTTATCTCCAGAGGACCTATGATGAAAAATGTTATGTTATCTCCTGACATAGAGGAGATGGACTCAAGATTCAGAAAGACACATACATTTGTGGACGTAGCCCCTATGTGGATTCCTTTTGCAGGACCATATTTATTTGTTATAAGTGATTTTTTTTTTCTTCTCTCAGTTTATCTGGGGGATAGGAGGGGAGGGATAGGGTAGCAAAAAGACGTTAACAATATTGATGTCACTCCCTCCTCCAAAAAAAGATAGCAGTTGAAACATTTTGAAAAATGAACAGAAGAGGAAAGAAGAAAGCACAGAAAAGCAAGATAGTTTTAAAAGTAAAGTGGAATTTATTATATTCTTTTTTATAAGACAAGCAATATAAACTCAATTTCATATACAGTTCTCTTTTTGTGTTCTGTTGTGTATATGGAAACATTCTTTTTTTGTGTTTAAGTTCAAAATAAAATAAAATTAACAAAACAAAAAGGCACCTCATCAAATTGAAGACAAAATTTCAGAAGGCACATTGTTGCTGAAGGTTACTTTTGGGGGAATAAAAAAGGATAGATTTTTTTTCACTGATTTGGTCTTTCATTTCCAGTCTCCCATATTTGACCTCCCAAAATTATTACCAATAAACTCTATATTAGCCATGTCAGTTGTATGAGGTGGCCTTTCTTTTGAGTTTATCTTCATTGAAAACAGAAAAACAAACTGACCTGAGACTTTGTCACCGGCTGACGGCTGGCCAGATGTGACTATTGCTGGTATTTGTGTAGGGCCAGGTGGAGACTGTGTCTTGATGGAATTTATGAGAGACCCCTATAAGTGAACACAAAAATGCTTAAGTAAATCTGTCAGATTAAATATATTATCATTGAATTTGCATAAGAATATACAATGACAAACATCACAATAAAAGGCATACAAACAAACATTTTAGAAGTTAATTGTTTTGAATGTATTTACATAAATAAGGGAACGAAAACAGGTTGTCTCATTTACATTGTTAATACTGTCATGTATTCCCATGTATGGGGGAAACAACATGATGTAGTAGAAAGAGCATTAGATCTGGAGTCAGGGACATATGTTCAAATCCTGACTCTGCCACATACTATTATGTGATCTTACAAATCCCCTAACATTTTAGGGGTTCTTGTTTTCTCATCTGTAAAGTGCAGGGGCTGGTGAGGATGACATCTACAAATCTGTCTAATTCTAGAGTTAGGATCCTTTTTGTAACATCAAAAATTCCACAGACCACCACAACAGCAGATTAATACCCAATGATATATAAGTATTATTCATTTAGTAATACTTCAAATGAAATTTTATTTTATTAATCACAATGGATCAAAAATATTTGAAAAAAATTGCAATATATTGCACATAACACAATTATATTGAGTCATTTAATATGAATCTGTGGGTCCTCCCCTTCCCTTTAGCAATAACTCTGTTATTATATATATTATATATAGCAAATAACTCCTAGAGGTTGTGAACCACTGACCTATATAACTCTACCAATATATTTGATTTCTACCAGTGGAGCTGCAAGTGACAAAATAAGTTTCTGAAGTTTGCCTTTGACTTCCTGAACTATATATTATATGAGACTAGCCACAACCTATACCTCACTTCAAATACTTCAATCATATAAATAATTCAAAGAACTGAATACTTCCATTAAAATCTGTTATTCCACCACTGGGGACATTCTCTCCTCTGACACAGATTGAAATCCTTTACATCTTACTAGGTGGACTTCATCAGTTGCCATGGTCAAAAAATTTTCAGGGCTTGGTGGCTTTTCTCTATATTTAGCTCGCGAGGCTGATTCTAAGAGAAGAAGGCTAAGATAGCAGTCACACTCAGAGCTTCTGCAGGTGGTAAGTCTGGCTAGCACTCACAGTATGCTGGCTCAGCCTTCCAGACCCAAGGGTCATCTTTAGGGTGTAAGAGGCATTAGAAAAGGACTTCAGTAGAGGCTGCCCCTCATTGAGAGTCTTCAATATTTACTATGAATGAGCTCTAAAAGACTGACCAACTACTAAAATTATCCTTATTTTAAATATATAAGGAACACCATGGATAAGGGAGTTCAAGCCACATGCCTGAGACCATAGCAATGACTTATAAGAGAGAAAGTATGAGTTCTAAAATTCAATTTCAAACTTAAATATGTAGTCATCTTCAGAGGCTGTGATACCAGCTTCTTGTGAAAAGTTTTAGCAATCTCTTTGCTTCCACTGCCTAGTTTCTGTCAACGTCTCCTTTAACTTCCTGTTATACGCTAAGCTCATTCGGTCTGTTTTTTCATCTTCCTGAGAAATGATCTTGGCCACATGGCACAGAGTAGTTCTTTTCAAAGGAGGGGCAATGGAAAAGCCTGTAGCGAGACAGAGTGAATGTGCAGCCAGCTCTATCCAGCTGGTGTTAGATGGTGGGTAACATACAAGGCTAAAAGGTATGTAGGGTAAGTAATAAAAATGACAGCTTACAACAAAAGAAAAGAGAACTTCAGTCCTTTATCTACAAAATGAGGAGGCTGAGTAGATGGCCCCTGAAGTCTCCTCCAGCTCTAAGTCTATAATTCAATTCCACAACAACAGAGCACAAAGGCACTGAAGCATGTATCCAGCAGAAACTGAAGTAAAATGGAAATCTTTGGAGACTGAAAAGTCCAGCCCTAACCAATGACAAGCCCAAACAAAGATGTAAGTCATTGACCAAGGCATAATATCCATGAGGAAAGGATTACAGGTCCATGGCTCAATTAAGCACATGAACAGCACCTAAGCATTGTCACCATCATTTGCTAAGGCAAAAATGACAAACAGTTGTGCTAAAAGAATAAAAACTGGGGCAGCTAGGTGGCGCAGTGGATAAAGCTCCGGCCTTGGAGTCAGGAGGACCTGAGTTCTAATCTGGTCTCAGACACATGACACTTACTAGCTTTGTGACCCTGGGCAAGTCACTTAACCCCAATTGCCAAAAACAAAAAAACAAAAAACAAACAAAACAAAACAAAAAGAATAAAAATCCATAAGGTACCTGCTTAGGTTGACTGGCAGCCACCGTAGCAAACAAGTGGAGGGACGTTTTGGCTGCTGACTGTGGTGCTGATGACCTATTTTTTAAAAGAAAGGGTATAACCACATAAGAAGGCATGATTTAATGGGGGAAAAAAAAGCATGTTTACTTTTTTTCTAAACAATTTAATTTAGTGTTTATTTTAAACATTCTTTTTTTTTTATATAAGGAACACTATGGATAAGGGAATTCAAGCCACATGCTTGAGACCACAGCAATGGCTCATAAGAGAGAAAGTATGAGTTCTAAAATTCAATTAATAAACTTAAATATGTAGCCATCTTCAGAGGTTGTGATACCAGCTTCTTGTGAAAAGTTTTAGCAATCTCTTTGCTTCCACTGCCTAGTTTCTGTCAATGTCTCCTTTAACTTCCTGCTATATTGCTAAGTCCATTCATTTTGTTTTTTCATCTTCTGAGAAATGATGTCTTGGCCACATGGTACAGAGTAGTTCTTTTCAAAGGAGGGGCAATTGCCCACTGAGGTGGGCAATACGATATCAATTATACATGTAAAATCATGCAAAACAATTTTCATATTAGCCATATTTTTTAAAAAGCAAGAAAAATAAAGTGAGAAAATTATATTTCATTTGCACTCAGAGTTCATAAGTTCTTTTGTTGGAGGTGGATTTTTTCATCATGAGTCCTCTGGAATTGTCTTGGATTACTGTGCTGATCAGAGTAGCCACATCTTTCACAGTTGATCATCACTACATCATTTCTCTTGCTGTGCACAATGATCTCCTGGTTCTTCTCACTTCACTTTGCATCAGTTCATGTAGGTCTTGCCATGTTTTTCTGAAACCACCCCCGTCATTATTTCTTATAGCACAACAGTATTCCATCACAATCATATGCTACAGCTTGTTCAGTCATTCCTCAGTTGGTAGGCATCTCCTCAATTTCCAATTCTTTGCTACCACAGAAAGAGCCACTATAAACATTTCTCTACATAGAGGTCTTTTTCCCTTTTCTTTGATCTCTTTGGGATACTGACCTAGTAGTGATATTGATGGGTCAAAGAGTATGCATAGTTTTTACAGCCCTTTAAGCATAGTTCCAAATTGTTCTCCAGAATGGTTGGACCAGTTCACTGTTTCACCAACAGTTCATTAGTGTACCTATTTTCCCCTCATCTCCTCCAGCATTAGTCATTTCTGATAGGCATGAGGTGGTTCCTCAGAGTTATTTTAATTTACCTTTCTCTAATCAATACTGATTAAGAGCATTTTTTCATGACTATATATAGCTTTGATTTCTTCTGAAAACTGCCTGTTCATATCCTTTGACCACTGGTTAACTGGAGAATGGCTCTTGTTTTTAGAAATCTGACTCAGTTCTATACTCAGTAGATATTTGGGAAATGAGGACTTTATCAGAGAAACTTACTGTACAAAGTTTTGGTATTACTTGTCTATGGTACCTTTTAATGTAATGTAGTTTCCCTGATTATCTCTTTTAATTAGGTCTATTTTTGCTTTTGCTTTGAGATCATGATTGCTACCCTGCGTTTTTAACTCTAGTTGAAACATTTTAGATCCTACTTCAGCCCTTTATTTTAACTTAGTGTGTCTTTCTGTTTCAAATACGTCTCTTGTAAACAACATATTATAGGATTCTGGTTTCTAACCCATTCTGCTACCTGCTTCCGTTTTGTGGGTGAGCTCATCCCATTCATATTCAATTATGATTACTGTGTATTCCCCTCTATCCCATTTTCTTGTTTCTTACTCCTTTTTATCCTGTCCCCCCTCAAAAATCTATTTTGTTTCTAACCATTGCCTCTCTAAATCCGCCCTCCCTTTAATAACCCTCCTCCCCTCTTATCTCTTTCCCCTCCTATTTCCCTATTGGGTAAGTTACATTTCTATACACAACTGAGTGTGTGTGTGTGTGTGTGTGTGTGTGTATGTAAGTATGTATGTATATTCTTCCCTCTGAACCAACTCCAATGAAAGTGAGGTTTAAGCATTGCTGCACCACTCTTCCTCTCATCATTTCCCCTTCCACGGTATAAGCTCTCCCTTGTGCACCTCTTTCATGTGAGAAAATTTTCCCCATTCTACCTCTACCTTCTCTCATTTCCTGGTGCATTTCTCTTTCTCACCCCTTCATTTTTTTTAAAAGATTATTCCAACATAATCAACTCACACCCATGCCCTCTGTCTATGTAAACTCCTTTTGACTGCCCTAAAAATGATAAAATTCTTATGAGTTACATGTATCATTTTTCCATATAGGAATGTAAACAACTTAACTTTATTGAGTCCCTTATGATAACTCTTTCATGTTTACCTTTTTATACTTCTCTTGAGTCTTAATTTTGAATGTCAATTTTTCTTGTTCTGGCCTTTTCATCAGGAATGCTCTAAAGGCTTCTATTTCATTAAATATCCATTTTCCCTCCTGAAGGATAACACTTTTGCTGGATAGGTTATTCTTGGTTGCAATCCTAGCTCATTTGCCTTCCGAAATATAATATTCCAAATCCTCCAGTCCTTTAAAGTGGGAGCTGCTACACCTTGTGTGATCCTGACTGTGTGACTCCATGAAACAATCTGAATTATTTCTTTCTGGCTGCCTGAAGTATGAGAGATCTGGAATGTGGCTATAATACTTTCATTTTGAGATCTCTTTCAGGAAGTGACTGATAGATTCTTTCAATTTCTATTTTACCCTCTCAATTCAAGATATCAGGGCAGTTTTCCTTGATGATTTCTTAAAAATATAATGTCTAGGCTCTTTTTTTGATCATGGCTTCCAGTTGGTCCAATAATTCTTAAATTATTTCTCCTCAATCTGTTTCCCCGGTCAGCTGTTTTTCCAGTGAGATACTTCACATTTTCTTCTATTTGTTCATCCTTTTGACTTTGTTTTATTGTTTCTTGATGTCTTGTGGAGTCATTAGCTTCCACTTGCCCAATTCTAATTCTGAGATTTTGTACATCTTTTCTCATTTGGTGTATTCTGCTTTATAAGGAGTTCTTCTCTTCAGTGAATTTTTGTGTCTCTTTTATCATTAGGCCAATTCTGTTTTTTAAGGTGTTATTTTCTTTAACATTTGTTGTGTCTCTTTTACCAAGCTGTTAATTCTCTTTTCATAATTTTCTTGTATCACTCTCATTTCTTTTCCAATTTTTCCTGTATCATTCATCTCTTTCTTGAACTCTTTCAGGAATTCTTGTTGGGTTTGGATCCAATTAATATTTTTTCTTTGAGGTTTTTTGGTAGCTGTTTTCACATTGTTGTCTTCTGAGTTTATGTCTTGGTCTTCCTTGCCACCACAGTAACTTTCTCAAATTCTTTTTGTTGTTGTTATTTGCTCATTTTTCTAGCCTGTTCTTAAACTATGAACTTTTTGTTAAAATTGGGCTCTGCTCACCTTGGGATAGGAAGGAACTATTCCAAGTTTCAGGCTTTTTTGTGCTGTTGTTTTTCAGAGCTAGTTCTGGTGGTTTGCAAGTTTTTGGTATTTCCAAAGTGCTATAATCCTGGGAGAGGTACAATCACTGATCTCCTGGTCTGTGTTCTGGTCTTTACCCAGTAAGGGTCCTTAGTCCCCTGCAGCTGCAAGCACTAGTTTTTTTGTTTGTTTGTTTTTTGCTTTGGAATTGTGACCAGGGCCCTTGCTCCCTTGTGATCAGCCCCCAGCATTCCTCTCTGCCCTGGAACTGCAACTTAGAACTGCATATGGGGAGCACGGTTGCCAATCAGCACCAGCTGTACCTAGTGCCTGTAATTTCCTTCTGACCAGTTGTCTGACTCCTTTACAATCTCTGGCCTAAGAATTCCTAAAGCTGCTGCTGTGGCTGCTGTCGCTGTAGCTGTGTGTGGGCTCTGGAAAGAGCTCTACCCTGGTGTCACAGACTTTTCCTGTTGACCTCCAGAGTTTTTTTAGGCCAGAAAAATGTCTCAACCCGACCTTTTGTTGGCTCTGTTGCTCCAAAATTTGATTTGAGGCATTATTTTAAAGTTGGTTGGAGGGGAATGCTGGGAGAGTTCAGCTGGGTGGCTTTTCCTAATCTGTCACCTTGGCTCCCAATCCTGCTTACTCTTAAGCCACCTGTATCTGCCCAAAAAATCAGACAGTAGGAGACAGGAGTTGTGGACTACAACACAACTCTTCTGATATAACTTCTATACGTAAAATCTCTTAAATGAAATTTGTGATTTTAGCAGGGAACCAAATGTAATAATCTCAGGTGATTTTCCCCCTTTCTAATTCTCAGAACCATTTTATTATAATTCTGTACATGCCACGCTACTTGTCTGATGACACTCTTTTCATCCAAACTCCAGACTGTGCCATATACTCTATAATTCTGCATTCCAATCTTGAGAATTAGTGCAATAGCATCTATATAGCAAAGTGTCATCTGCTGCCCTTCAAATAGCAGGAGCACCTCCCTGTGCTTAGAGGCAGCTATTTCTAAAGGCCGAGGCAGGTGAATAAAGAAATCCTGAGTTTCCCAAAGTACGTAGGAATAAGACCTGAATCCTACTGTTCGGTTAATATAATGATGGGTATTTGCAAACACATCAAATCTTCTGATTCTGACAACTATCATTATAGAATAGAAGGCATACACAACACTTGGAGGTAGAGTCCTCATCACGTCTGGGTAACAAAGCACAAAGTTTCACCCAGATGATCTACACATTGTATACACAGCGTTGCCAACTCAACAGCCACTTGGAGTTAATTTACCAGCAACAGAACCAATTTACCTGCTAATTCAAAATCATAGGCAAAATTTCCACATTTGGTTCCAGGGACAGTAATTTCAACCAACTTACCTGCCCAAAGCACTGAACCAGACACTGCGATGATTGATGGATGTGACTGCAAAGGCTAGGGGATCTAGCTCCATTTCTCATAACTCTTCCTAGCTTTAGGGCAAGGAAGATTACTAATTTTCCCCATAAAATTAAATTTGAGGAGGTAAAGAACAAGATTATGTGACATTTTGATAAGACAAACCACTATCAATTTTTATAGGCAAACTTAGGCTTCTTTTTGTTGTTTTTGCAGATA